AACAAAAAGGTTGAGATGTTTAGCATATGGTACAAGTTTGCATGTGTTTTCTTATAGTGCATACGCAATTAATGGATACACATTTTATACCAAAGAACAAGATGATAAAAGTACAATGCAAAATAGTGGTGTCACCGTGCTTGCTGAAGCAATGCACATTTCAAGTGTGAAGGACTTAAACCACAAATATGAAAAACCAGTCGTATTTTGGGGTTATCAAGCGCATTTGGGTGTTTGATTTTGAGAAGTTTCAGATTCCTATATTTGGATGCAAGTGGGTTGAAAATAATAGTGGCATACGAATGGATAAGTCAGGATTTTTGCAAGTGGATCTTAATAAGGTGGGGTACAAAGATGAACATTTTATTATAGCCGTGCAAGCTAAATAAGTGTTCTATGTTACTGATCCGACAAGTACGAAATGGTCTATAGTTCTTTTTTCCAACAAAGTAATCGATGATAACATTGGAGATCAGGGTGATGTTGATGTTGAGAAGGAATCTTATATTATAGATGATCAAGATGAGAATATTAGAGCGGACGAATTATATATTAGAAATGATCATAACGAGGGAATTTTGATCAATCCAACCATCCGTGTTGTTAAGAGACAAGTAAACCACGTTCCAACGAAGAAAAGAAAGAGATGTTAGTGACAAAGGTACTTGTAAAATTACATATTGTCTCATTCAATAAAATTACATATTATATCATTCAATAAAATTACATATTATGTCATTCAATAAAATTATATATATGTTTTTCTTATTTATATGTTTTTCTTTTCATATATATTTGTCATTCATTTCATAATTTGGCTTTTCTGAATTACAGGTATTATGGCCACCATCGAGGAAAAATCACATGATGGAAACGAAACAGCACAAGACGTGGAACGCAATATTACAAGAGGAATAACGATTATAAAAAAAAATCATCCGTGCGAGAGATAAAGGTATAAAGTATGATGTGCATTGGAATGAAACAGATCAATTAATTGAGCCTAACGGTGCAATGCTGACAAGTTACATTGGAGCACTTGTTCGTTTGCAAATTCCAATTACTTGCGATAATTGGAGAATTCCTTCGTTACAACCAACTAAAGGCAAATTTGGAGCGAGATACAGGTATGATATTTGATATTTTTTAATTATGTCAACGGTTATGTCTTTAAATTAATTATACTAACATACTATATGTATGTTTATTTGTTTGCAGAGATCTTTTAATATTGATGATTGCAGGAGAAAATATTGTCTTCAATTGGCCGAAATCTAGCAAGGTGCCCAACAGTTGCAACAAGTCAGCAAGGGTAAGATGCCTGAATCTAGCAAGGTACCCAACAAATAAAAGGCCGAGCCAAAAAAAAGCATTTGTTCCTCGATTTAGGTTGTACCTTGAAACATATGTAGGAACAACAGATGTGACTGAAGGTGGCATCCGTCAAATACCTATGGAGGAAGGTATTTTCGGTTTTGAATATGTCGAAATAATTGCAAAAGAGGATTTGGACCAGATTTTCCAACATTCTGAATTGGGCATCGGTGTTATGCATTCCTACATCAGGTACTCCGATCAATTTTAATTAAATAATTGAGCAATTTATTTGCTCATTTAAATAAATATTCTAATGTTGATTATGTTTTTATTTAAGGTTCTTGTGTGACAAGTTGTTGGTCCCGCATAATTTGACTTCAAGATTCGCATTCTTATTTGCTAGTTGTATCAACTAACGGTCAACCGATCACACTCCAGATATAGTCAGAGATTACATGGTCCAAGCATATATGACCGCAGATACAGAGAAGTTGTATTTTTTGCCATATAATACTGGCCATAGGTTATATTTCATTCTAAATTCATTTATTATAATTATTCGTTTTTTGCCATTCTATATAACATTTCCGTCTAAACTTTTGTCTTATTTTACAGTGGACATTGATTGTTGGTTGTGGTTAATCCGATGAAAGAAATAGTGTATTATCTGGATTTATTGGATGGTGATCAAACAAAATATCTTGATATGAAGAAAATGGTTGATACGTAAGTGATGAGATATATTATATTGTTCTGAATATATATCTTTATTTATTATGTAAGATTGTTCTAAATATTCGTTTATGTTATGTTAGAGCTATACAAATATTCTGATCACAAAGAGAAGCAACAGTGCCAAAAAGGAAGGCTAACAACATTAGCTGGATCAGAGTGCAGGTATATTTTCACAATTTTGACTATTATAGTGATTCTACTTGATAAAACTAGTTAAACTATATATTCTGATAAATATTCGTTTATTTTTTCCATTTACAGTGTCCTCGTCAGTGCAATGAGATTGATTGCGGATATTTTGTATTGAGGTTTATGAAGGAAATTATTCATTCGGGTCAAATAGAGATTCTAATCATGGTATGGATCAATTTATAAGTTATATGATTTATTTTAATATTTAACCGATATTTCATCTGAGTAATTAGTTTTAAAGCTAAATCATGCATGTTATGTTATATTATGTAGTACTTTGATGAATTCAAGTGTGGTACTTACTCGAAAGACAGATTGGAAGAGATTAAGGAGGAATGATGTCAATACATTCTTGAGTTGAGAATTGTATAAGGTATATATATTGTCAAATATTGATGCGGGATAATTATATTTCTGGAAGTCATATGTAGTTTTGGCGCTATATGTGTAGTACTGAATGTATTTGTAAAGTTATCAGTTTTGTAATTATATGTATAGTGACTGTATTTGCGAAGTTGTTCTGATGATCGACTTGTGTTGAATTATAAGCAGGTTAATTTATGTGTTGAATTACAAAGATTATAGTATATATAAGGCCAAAGTGTTGAGTTAAAGGCCTGAATTATAAGCAGGTGAATGTAATTGTTATAAGTAGGTTTATCGAAAAAAATATAAAAAATGGTGAAACATAATTCAAAAAACTCGTTTCTAAAAAATATGAAAAATAGACAGCGCTTTTACCAAAAAAACTCTATGAAAAAGTGATTTTCTTTTAAAAAAATATTTTAAAGACGTGAATAATAGACAACGCTTTTATTAAGAAAGCGCCGCTAAATGGGGGGGGGGATTAGGCAAGAAAAGCGCTGCTAAAGGGGGGCAAATAGAGAACGTTTTTATAGAAAAGCGTTGCTAAAATTGGGCCTATAGCAGTGCTTTTTCCATAAAAAAAGTGTTGTCTTTACCTTTAGCAGCGTCACTTTAGGCAGCGCTTTTAAGTACTGCTAAAGATCTTTTTAAACGTACCAAAAAATTAAAAAAAAACACTTAGCCACGAGATATTTACGTTGTAAGTTGTGAAGTGAAAATCACGTCGCAACTTGCCACGTGAATATCACGTCACAAATTGCCACGTGAATATCACGTTACGACTTTCTTACAGACGTCTGCCACTTTGTCTGCAACGCTTGCCGTGACTGAAACTATATTTTATTTGTTATGACGTGAAAATCACGTGAAAATCAAACATATAGTATTACACAAGAAAACACAAAGACTCTTTTAAACACAAAAAATGACGATCAATTAAAATTTCTTCAAAATAGGCGAGTCTTCAAACAAAAAGAATCTTCTCGTTAAATAGCCGTCTTAGTCAAGTCATTATATGCTTTTATGTTGATGATTTACTTATTACAAGTGCAGATGAGGCAGAAATCAACAGTGTCGAGTCAAAGCTATTTCATGGATTTGAAATGTCCAACCTAGGAAACTTATCATATTTCATAGGATGAAATTTAAAGACACAAGTAAAAGAGTGTTTCAGTACCACGCGAGCAATGTCTAAGACATGTTTAAGAGGTTCAAGATGAGTAATTGGAATGCAGTTATTACACGATTGGAGACTGGAGGAAAGTTGAGAAAGGAAACAAATGATAAGTTATTAAGTGCAACACTATCCATATAAATCATTGGATCCTTGAGGTATCTTTGCAATAGCATGTCATACATTTGTCAAAGTGTTAGATTGTTGAGCAGGTTCATGGAGAAGCCTCAAGAATATCATCCAACAATAGTTAATAGAGTGCTTCAATACATCAAAGAAACGATTGATCATGGTGTGTTGATGGCAAAGCATAAGAATACCAGCACAAATGCATAAGCACACGGTTACACTAATTCAAGTTTCATTGGAGATCAAGACGAGAAGAATAGTATTGCAGGCTACATATTCAAATAAAAATCTTTTTTCAATCTGATTTGGATTTAAATACTTTAAGGTGTAACAAAATCTTTATGGTGTAGTAAAATCCTCTTCATATGAAGAGGATTAAAATACTTTTTCCAAACACAATCTTTACAAAATTCTCCTTCAATTAAAACAGAAAAAATCTTGTAATAAATGTTGAAGATATAACGCGCGTCAAGTCAAACAGAAACAAAATGTCTCACAACAAGTTAAGATTTATTGTTTAGTAAGTTGTTTACAAAAAAAAAAAAATATAGTCAATCAATTGTATTACCATGAAGGATCCGAAAGAAAATATCATTTTTCTTGCATGTAAAAGGTATCTTGGTAGATCAACCGCCTACTCTGAATGACTTGAAAATTTTATTTTCTGTTTGAGAGTATTTGACCTAATTCTTGGACCAGAGTATTCATATTACATTGCTGGAGAATTATGCTTTATTTGATGGTAGTTCCTCATTGTTGAGATCTACTCTATTTTCTCTTTGTGGTGTGATAGCTTCTGGTGTAGTTTTTGTTGTGATAGCTTCTTTATTGTTTTTATGCTCTTTTCCTCTACTAGCTATTTTGTTTTATTCGCGGGGTTGATTTGTTAGGTCTTGTATATAAAGCTCGATTCCGTAGTTTTTATATTTTTTGGATCTTTTTATTGTCCCTCTTTTATAGCTAATGATTCTTATCAGTTTGGTCCCCACCTCCTCAAAATTAACGTCGGTCTTACCCTGAGATTGTTATGCTATTGGATCTTGTCTAGCACCTACATCGATCCCACTTGTCAATCTTAATAATCACAATGGAACATGTCTTTCACATGAAGGGTGGTGTGGGAGAAACAAGCTATGCAAATAACTCCTCACTTCAGGTATTACTTAGTTATATTCATTTGTACCTCAACCTAATTAGTTTAGGATGGATTGAGTAGACATGTGATAATATTCACTGGCCTCAAACTAATTAATTTTGTGCAGAGAAAAGTGATAATGGAAGTGAAAACCATACTTGAAGAAAACATGATATTGATCATGTCCAACAAAAGTATAAAAGGTTGTTGGAAAATAGTTGATTTAGGTTGTTCTTCAGGACCAAACACACTTTTGTCCATCTCCAATATCATGAACATCATCCATAAAATTAACATGAAACTAAATCATGGGAAACCTGTATTTCAAATATATCTCAATGATGTATTTGAAAATGATTTCAATAATATTTTCAAGTTCCTTCCTGATTTCTACCAACAAGAAAAAGAAAAGAATAATGGAGAATGCTTCATAAGTGCAACACCAGGAAATTTTTATGGAAGGCTCTTTCCAAATTATTACATTGACATTTTTCATTCATCCTATAGTCTTCACTGGCTATCTAAGGTTAGCATACCTCAATTTTATTATAAATATATTTAATGAAATATTTAAAGATAATTATTTTATGTCATAGGCACCAAAAATTTTGGTCAAGAATGGAGAACCACTCAACAAGGGAAATATTTACATATCCAAAACAAGTCCTCCGTGTGTTTATGAAGCATATTTTGAGCAATTTGAGAAAGATTTCAGCTGTTTTCTAAAGTCACGCTTCGAGGAATTAGCATTGGATGGTATGATGGTAGTAACACTCATGGGCAGAGAATCAATTGGTGCAATTACTTCTGTTGAAGAGGTAATTGGCATGGTACTCAACGAGATGGTTCAAGAGGTAAATACGAATTCATAATTACTAATTATGTTAAAACACTTTTAATTTAAAAAAAATTGTTGCTAATTGTTGCGGTGGAAATAGGATATCAAATATTAATTAATTTGAATCACAATTCAGTTCACAACCGCTCTTTGATTTATCCGAAGGAAAAGGTCAAAAGAGGGAAAACCTATTTTGCATCATAAACACAATGCGGGGAAAGATCTAGGGTTCGGGGGTTGGTTAAATTTAGGGAAGGTATTAGCACCCTAAACTTCTGTAGTACTCTACAGGAACCTTTTGTTCAGATGTTTACTATTTGCTTTATTATTCTTAAGGTATATGTACAAAGGATTAAAAGTGAGAAAAGAGACCTAAGGGGTTAATTCTAAGTTTACTCGGCAAGACATCGCATCTTGTGCCTACGTATCCTTACGAGAGTGGAATCAGAGTAATCGTAGTTCCCCTCAATAGGGAGGTTAGAAACTTCTTGACTGTGGTCAAGGTCTCAAGGGGAATAAACGCATCTTAAGGACACGCTTACGTGGAGTGTAGAAACTCCAAATCTCTACGTTGAATTGTTAAGTTGTAATTAGGGTTAAATTAGGTTAGGTTAGGGATTCCGCGGCGGGAAACCCTAAAATGAGCGCGGCGGCTCTTTGACCTAATGCTAGGGGTAAAATTGTAATTTTGCCTGCGGCGAGGCATTTGTGAAAATTAGGGTTTGTGAGGTTGTAAGGGTTGAAGGTGAGGATCATTGACACGACGGTCAAACGGCTAGACCTAATTCCTTCGGAGGAGTGAAATTAATTATAAAGATGCGATGAAATTGAATATACATACAACGGCAGAAAATAAAGTGCGGAAAGATAAATGCGACAATTGTCTCGCACAATTACATCCCATAAGCAGTTACAATTATAATAGCTAAATATAAAACCGAAAATAAGTTTCAAATTGAACATAATAGCTGCAAGAAACAAAACAAACAAAAAATGTCAGTATGTGGGGTTAGACGAAAACGAAATCAAAATTGAACGAGGAACAAACCGTATGAATTTTGGAGGACTTTTATGGTCTTTTTAACCAAGGATTTAAATTTGTGAAAAGAGAGATTGATTTTAATTAAAAGAGTTTTGAGTTTTAAAAAAATTTATTAATAAAAAAGTGAAAGTTTGGTTAATTATTCTAAAAAAGGAGTTTTAGTGATAATATTTTGAAAAAAAAGATTTAATCATTAAAAAAAAAAACAATTGGTTTAATTTAAAAAATCTTAATGTTAGTTAAAAACACGTTTTACTTTAAAGTTATAAAAAAGTTTTATTATTTGAAAAAAACATTTGATTATTTTATTTAAAAAGAGTTTTAATTAATTTGAAAAAGGTTTTTGATTATAAAAAAGAAAGGGTCTTCTTGATTTTTTTTAAAAAAGATAAACAAAATAAAATAACAAATGGAAAAACAATAAATAATAAAAAAGAGGGTTGGGCCGGTCATCACTCTTCTTCTCTCTGCTCTCTGAGTTTGCGTGTGTTCCTCTCCTTCTTGTTTGCCTCTCACGGATGTTATCTTCTTCTTCTTTTGCATGACCGCCGATTTGTCTTCTTCATCTCTTTTTCCTGAAAAACATGAAAAGCAACACAAAAATTGTAATTATATTTTTTGATCCTTACGGAATGATGATGGCCGATGATGCTTTGTCCTGAGGCTAGAGGATTTTTGACGGAGTTTGCTTGGATTTTTCGAAAAAAGTTCTCCCTTTCTTGCTATGATTTTCGTCCCTTTTATACTTGATTTTTAAATCTTTTTTAATCTCAGATTTAATTTGAATATCTCAATCTTTTTCAATCTCGGATTTGATTTGAGTAGATTTTTATGATGATTTCAGATTTGATTTGATGGTGATGCTGATTTTCTTATGATGATGATATGATATGATTGATTTGATCTGGAATTCATTAAGATTGGATTAGATTAAAAAAGTGTTGAGATTTAAATTTAAAAAGTTAGCAAAGAAGATTAGAGTTTCAAGTTAAATAAAAAATTAGAGTTTTAAAAAAAAAAATGAGTTAGAGTAAAAAAAAAAAAAATATTTGAATGTTGGTTTTAAAAAATGTTAGAATTATTTTAAAAACTGTTAGAATTTAATTTTAAAAGGAATTTAAAATTTTTAAAAAAAAAAGGGCGTTAGAATTTAATTTTAAAAAGAATTTAGAATTTTAATTTGAAAAATAAAGGTGTCAAAAAAAAGATTTAGATTTAATTTTAAAAAAAAGGTTAGAAAAAAAAAATTAATTTTAAAAAGAAGCTAGAGAAAAAAAGATTTAATTTTTTAAAAAAGAAGTTAGAGAAAAAAGATTTAATTTTTTAAAAAGAGAAGTTAGAGAAAAAAAGATTTAATTTTTAAAAAGAGTTAGACAAAAAGATTTAATTTTAAAAAAGTAGTTAGAAAAAAGATTTAACTTTATAAAAGTTAGAAAAAAGATTTAATTTTAAAAAGAAGTTAGAAAAAAATATTTAACTTTAAAAAAGTTAGAAAAAAGATTTGATTTTTTTTAAAAAAATAGAAAAAAAGATTTAACTTTAAAAAAGTTAGAAAAAAAAGATTTAGTTTTAAAAAAAGTTAGAAAAAAATATTTAACTTTAAAAAAGTTAGAAAAAAAAAAGATTTAGCTTTAAAAGGTTAGAAAAAAGATTTAATTTTAAAAAGTTAGAAAAAAAGATTTAATTTTAAAAAAAAGTATTAGATTTTTATTTAAAAAAAAGTATTAGAATTTGATTAAAAAAAAAAGTGTTAGAAATTAATTTAAAAAAGGTTATGAAAAATTTACTCTTTAAAGAAAAGAAAAAAAAAAAAAAGTTAAATTTTAATCTAAATCCTAAAAGTTAGTAAGAAGAGCTTTAAATAAATAAACTAAATAGAAAAAAAAAAGTTAATAAAAAATATTAGTAAAGTTATAAAAAAAAAATTAATTAAATTATTATTAGTTAAAAAAACAAGATCTAAAAAAAAGGTTAATTTATTAGGTTAATAAGAATTTAAAATAAAAATAAAAAAGAAAGGGTAAAATTTGGGGTATTACAGTTGCCCCTATTTAAATAGCTACACCAGATGATTTGAGTGACGGAGACTCAAGGAATCATGGTGGAGGGATTTAAATATAGATAACCGAAAATTTTGCCCTTATATGCGGCGATATGCAATGCTATGGACAAAGCGAGAACAGATTAATGCAGATGATGCCGTGAATATGATGTGATGCGTATGCTGGAATGATGAATGCGAAAATGCTGACGAATACGACGACACAGATGCTACGAGAAGAACACACTGGGGAAAACGACGCGCTGAGACACAGTACATCACTGGGGAATTCTAAAAATGATAGTCAACTGGTGCGAATGACCAATTGTCACTTTTAGAAAAGGAACGAGATCCTCGAATGGAGATGGTACCTATGAGACGGCCTCCACTGGGGAATCTAAAAATAAAACTGGATCACATACGATTGTAAGATCGATTACAGAATGCTGGAGCATTGAGCAAGGAATAACATCCAAGCTTCTGTAAACTACCCCTCGTGACAGGATCAAACGGACTTTTCGGAACTCCGTAGCAGATATACAGGGTAAAGACCGACTGTATGCCAAAATAAATGGACTTTGATGGGAATTGCCCTGATAAGCTTCTCGAGGGAGAACTGTCACTTATCGTTGGAAGGGACTTATGTGCAAAAAATGGATAAGCACTCAAATAAAGAGGCTGCTGCTTATCTGATAAATAAATCTTCTCGCATTTAAGGTCGGCGCCTGGAATACGATTCTGATTCTTCTCTTACTGAAGGATAAATAAACTGCTTCATGCTTCAGAATCGTGCTCTCCTGAACATGAAAAGGGTAAACTGAACTTCCTCATACTTCAGAATCGTGCTCTCCTGAATATGATACTGGATGACTGAATTTCTTCATATTTCAGAATCGTGCTCTCCTGAATATGAAACTGAATGACTGAAGATACTCATATTTCAGAATCGTGCTCTCCTGAATATGAAACTGGATGACTGAATTTCTTCATATTTCAGAATCGTGCTCTCCTGAATATGAAACTGAATATACTCATACTTCAGAATCGTGCTCTCCTGAATATGAAACTGGATGACTGAATATACTCATATTTCAGAATCGTGCTCTCCTGAATATGATTTGGTTGTAAATGAATTTTTCCATACTTCAGAATCGTGCTCTCCTGAATATGAAACTGGATAATCGAACTTCCTCATAACTCAGAATCGTGCTCTCCTGAATATGATTCGGTTCCTGAAATTTCTTCATTCTTCAGAATCGTGCTCTCCTGAAAAACGGCCAACTGAACTTCCTCATAACTCAGAATCGTGCTCTCCTGAATATGATTCCGTTCCTTCTTTTACTAAAGGATAAATGAACTTCTTCATAACTCAGAATCGTGCTCTCCTGAATATGATTTCGCTCAAACCTTCCCGTAACTCAAGATCGTGCTCTCCTGAATACGATTTGGTTCAAACCTCAAGACGGCAGGTAAATGGAAGCCCAACTGCTCCATGGAGATGGCCATTTGCTGCGAGTCATAACGAGGATATGATCGACTTCTTAGGTGAGAAATGTCGTATGTTGATGCTGTAAAATGTAAAGTGTAAAGGGTTGTAACATGTAGGATTGTAAAGTGTTGTACTGATATATTTTCCAGGCGTGAACTGGCGTGTATCTGTAAAGGATTGTAGTTGATTTTCTTGAAAGATAGTGCAAAATAAATGCACGTCCGGGTACAGTGATAAACTTCTCGGGCGAGAACAGTCGAACATCTGTCATGGTATGGTGAAAATCTTTAGATGGTGCAAAATAAATGCACGTCTGGTTGGGCTTGACGACCGACAAGACTGAGATTCAATCTAGGATCGAGCTAGAAAGAAGACTGGTAATCAAGACTCCATCGAGGGAAACGATCTTGAAGGGTAAATATCTTATCCTGGTAAGGAAAGATAGCTGAGGTAACCGTCATC